CTTTTCATCTCTCTCCACATCAGAGGCAGTCATGCATTCTGGTAGCTGTGTTTCTCCACTCAGAATACTGAGTAGCAATTACCCAGGGAGATCTGCAACCGAAGTGTTCGGACTCTGCCTTGAGAGGGTCAGATGTAACGAATGCTTCTAATGTAGAATAAGAAAGTTAAGTTCTGAAACTCTCTTGTACCCTACCAGCATTGAAACACAGGGTGGCCTGTTTATTTTGTGGCCATCTGCGATTACCAGGGTTTGTGGCAGGTTGGGTCAATTAACAGAAATCCCAGAAAGGGCCAGAAGAGGCCAGGGAAAAGCCAAAGTTGAGAAGAAATCAGCATGCATGCACCTATGTACTCTGACTCCTCTCGGTGAATCCTGGAAACCGTGTTACAGTGACCTGGCTGCTGTGTACTCCATCCAAATTGAGAGCAATCATAAAGAACTTGGCTTCCAGGTTAAGAAATAATAATAATAATAAAAAGCCTCTGCTCCTCTGAGCAGCAAAGCAAGAAAAGGTAATAAATTTTAAAAGACAGAGAGAGGCAGGGGGGAGGAAAGCGCCGAGGCGTGTGGAGAGGGTTCACGCTGCATGCACCCGCGGCTCTGCACTCCACTGTGTTTGCTGTGTTGTGATTCATGGACTCACAGAAACTTGCTCAGAGTGGGCCAGAGACTCTGCAGCTGTGATCTGCTGTGCATAAGCAAAAAAAATTTCCAACTGCAGTGCCAAGCCGACACCTCCCTGCGCATTTCCTTAGTGAAAAGAATGTCAGTTCTCAGCCTGGGACTGCATTCACCTCGAGTTTATTCAGTGAGTCTTTGTCTCATTGAGGTCTTCCTTCATATGAACTACAGTAAGCAGTACAGATTTTTTTTCTCCATGAAGCTGCTCAGAATAGCAGTATAGAATAGACACGCTGTTTTTGTTATGTTTTTGTGCTGTTTCTAGGGCTTGAACTCAGGCCCTGGGCACTTTCCTGGGGCTTATTTGGCTCAAGCTTAATGATCTACCACTTGATCCACCACAGCTCTACTTCTTCCATTTATGGTAATTAATTGAAAATAAGAGTCTCGCCCAGACTAGCTTCAAGCCACGATCCTTATATCTCAGCCTCCTCTACAACTAGGATTGTAGATGTGATTCACTGCTGCCTGGCAAAGCAAGATTATCTTTTTAGAAAAACTTGACACCTTTAATAAAAAAAGAAAGAATGTATTGAAAATGCAATGGCCATTTCCAACGTAACAAACTCACTGTGTTTATCAGTGGCTCTCAAACAGTAGCATGAATCAAGGTCATCTACTCTGGATCTGGGATGCTGCTGGTTGGATGTTTCCTTCCAGGGATTCACCAGTGGTGCTACATTGGGACAGGAACCAAGTGGCATGTGCTTATGTCATGAAGACAGAGTCCTTATGAGTGGGTTCCTACTACCACCAAAGGGGATTTGGGAATGTGTTCACTTCTTCCATCCCTTGGCTTTGTTGCCAGGAGCATCGCTTCCCCCCGGGGGATTCAGGGTTCAAGGCGCCATCTTGGAAACATAGAAAAAGCCCTCACTAGATACCAATGTATGAAAAGGAATCCTCTACTCTAGAAAGAAGAGATGTATGAGTATGAAATAAAAAATAAGTCAAATGCAGTGAAAACTACAACAATGAAAAAGGGAGAGAACAATTAAGCTTTAGATGAAATGATCAAAGACGGCTCACTGAGTAGTGATAATCGGATCATTGTGAAGAGGTGGGCAGAACGGGGAGGCAAACGTCCTGAAGAATGTGGTTCTAGGGGGAGGAAAAGCACATGCAAAGGCCCTAAGGTGAAGAGTACTTGGGATCTTGGAGGAACAATATTGAAGGTGGAGTAGGAAGCGTACAGGTGGGAGAGACATTGTGGGACCTTCAGGTCACTGTAAGAACTGTTTTTACTCCAAGTGGGAGAGGAGGTTTGGAGAGTTTTGAGTACAGAGCAGAAATAATCATGTTCTGCTTTTTATGATGTTTCTTTGTATTAAGTAGATGTACCAAGGTGTTTCAATTCCAGAAGGTAGGTGATGAGTACAATGTCACCCCTCCCATCCCTCTCCCTCATCTCTCCTCATCCATCCCTGACTCTCAAGGTACATTGTTTAATTTTGTACTTAGTGAGCATTGAATAGAATGACTGCATTTTCTAACCCTTCTTCCCTCCATTTGTGCTACGTTTTAACAAGATCACGCTGCTTGTTATGCTGAAGATATCCCGAAGGGCCTTGAGTTCTAGCTCCAGAACCAGCACACACCTGTGTGCACACACACATACACATACACACATGCTTATACCTATACACAAATCACACATATATACACATACATACGCACGTATACACATACACACAGCAATATAGGCAAACAAAATAAGTGTTCTGTCTCCCATCAGCTCTCAGTGTCTAGATCATTCGTAGCAGGTCTGTCCTTTAGAACATTTGTTATAAAAATCATTCTGAATAACATTTGTTGAAGGTTTCCTATGAGGACCTTATTTAAAGAATGTTTCACATTCGCTTTGAACCTTCTGCAGCTCGTCCACTGAATTTCTAAGTTCAACACACACAGTATAACTAACCAACTCTGCAGTGGCAGTCAAGGTGATTTGAATCTAGATGAAGTTCCCTCTTTTCTAGATATGTTTTGATTTGTTCCATCATTTGGAGGTTTCTTTGGAAAACCATATGGTTAATTTAACATTTGCAAAAAGCAATTTGGGGAAATAAAATATTTATCTACTATAAACCATAAGCTTATCTCCATTAGAAATGTCATTGCTAGCATTATCTCATCAAAGGAAGTCATTTTTCTATAGGCTCTCATTGTGATTTGTGAAATTGATCATTTTTTGTTATATCTTATAGGGGAAATCAAATACGTGCTCAGAAATAGGACTTTGTGAAATAGTTTTATGCACAAATGAAGCGTCTGGCTCTTAACAAATGTGCGGTAGAACTAGATATGTATTTTACTATTTTCTTAAGTATATCAGGAAGATCAAGCAGCGTCTTGGCACGTGCAGTGGCTTGTGGTGGGAGTGGATTGGTAAGGAGCGTGTTAGGTGGATGTGGAGACATGGCGCCTGGAGACAGGATCCCAGGACGAGGCTCAGAAGCGTCTGAGGAGTGGTGCCGTCCACAGAGCACGCTTAGGCCACGCTTTCAAACAAGAAGGTGTGAGGCAGATTTCCCCGTGTGCTGCCCGCGGGCTGACAAACAGAAAAATGTCTCTCCTTTTCCTTCCAGAGCTAGTTTCAGCCTCCTTGAATAGTCTGGAAAGACAGGACTGAGGCAGTCACGTGTTCTTCAAGTTTTGATGATTACGTGAATATGCGAGAGGATAGGACAGGAATAACAAAACCAGAGGGAAACAGTGTGCCATGTTGAAAGCCAAGTCGGCTCAGATCTCCCTCAGTAAACGCAGAAAAAGAAAGGATGGGCTTCATTATACCAATATTATTAGTTACACAGAACCAAATGTGGTCCGCTAAATGATAGAGCAAATCAATCCTCTTTATCGACTTAATACATTAATGATGCTATCATGATTTTATACACCATTAAAGGAGGAAAACGAAGCAAATAAGATGTAACACAACTAAGTCACTGAATTGTAATGTGCACTATAATTTTAGAAATGTTAAAAATTAGGATGAAAGTTACAGAATTAAGCCCACTCGGTGGTCCTTCAGAGACATAAATCTGAGCTTAAATCATTTGCCTTAAGTGGCCGGTTTTATTTTTACATTTTATCTTATTTTATTGTTTTGCAGTACTGGAGGCAGATTTTAAAATGATATTTTGCTACTTTTCAGTACTCTTAAAAATGTGCGTGTAAATGCAGATGAAAAAAACTGTATGGATCCAAATCCCAAAGAAATGGCAATCGAAGATATTAAAAAATATTCCCTGAGTCTCCCATAACATCTTGTTAAATGTTGTGCTTTTGACCCTATGAATCAGAGCAACAAGTCATCTCCTCCACATCTCTAGAATGTTAGAAAGATTATTATTATTATAATCTATAGCAGGAGAAATTCCTGTCTGTAGCGATGGAAGCCGAATGCCTCATTTCCTCTTGGAATGGCCCCTTGAGTCACAAATTTGCATCATCGATATCTGTTGCAATTGTCCTGTGTGAAGAACCCAGAAATAGCGAACATAATTGTTGTTCACAAGGGAAAGCAGAATGCAAAGAAACCCAATAAGAGTATCAACTGACTTGGGTGGAATCTGAGATTTAGAATGCGGATTCAAAGCTGGAGTACAATGACTTGTAGCGTGTGGGCTTGCAGATAATGAGCGAGGTGTTCAGAGAGGCTTATCACTGTGGCCTCCTGTGTGGAGGGCTGTGCGCCCACTGAATGAGCAGTGCCCTCAACTGCCCTGCCAGGCCCATCCCTCAATGTGCTCCATCTCCTGCCTCAGATTCTTAGTATCCGTCTCCGCCAAAGGATACCGCCAAGGGCACTATCTCCACACGTGTGTCAGAAATTGGAGACACCAGGACTAAGAAGCTATGATTTGTTTTATCCATGAATTTGACTTGGTGGCTTTTGTTTGAGAGTGGAGCCGGGCTCACAGCAGCTCTGAGAAGTTCCATTCTGGCGTAGCAACTTGTGGTCCAGGAGAAATGGGAGATATGTCCATAGCTGTGGTTCACCCATTCAGATTTCATCCATCTTCTCCTTCACTCAAGAGTACGTGCTCAGCGCCACACAGGGATACCAATGGACAAAGTGACAGGCACCCTCCTGCAGATACAATGGATAAACAGGCCTTTGTCCTACAGGGTAACGCATGCGTTCACATCACAGGGAGTTTGACAGGAGAGGAGGGGCACAGCAGCGGGAGACATGAGCAGTGATTCTGCCGAATCATCGATCTGTGGAAAGTGGCCGAGGTTCAGCCTGAGGAACGAGAGCGTGAGGAGGGAGCGTTCTGAGTAAGAGGCCGGTGTATGCTTGAAGGCAGGAAGACAGGGGTGGCAAGTGCACAGGGCGAGACACCTGCACGGGCCGCGAGCTGGGTTCTGGGGATCCCGAGGAACAACTCTTCCAAAACCTTGGCAGCAAGCGCCGATGTTGCTGCAATCAGATTTGCTTTACGGAGGAGAGACCGCATCGCTTTAGAAACACAGAGAACGCTTGTCGGAAGAAAAACTGTTAGTGGTGGGATCGCAGGACCGGCAGGTTAAGTTATCAGGACTTAGCTTTGAAGTTGCTTTTCTTCCCAAAGTCAGCCACCACACTTGATATTCTTTTACCCTTTGAACACCAGCCACTTGGAGAACTAAGTGAACACTTTTCAATGGTAAATGGTGTTGGAATTCCTTTCTATGTTTTCCATCTGGAAAAAAGGGCACAAAAAAAGATCAAAGGACTAATGACTTTCGGCCTCTTGGAGAATCCCGCAATGTCATTTTAATGCATGATTTACTATTCTGGGTGCGAATGGTCCTCCTTTTACTAACATTTTTCCGTGCTGACTTTCTTCCCCCAAGGCATCCACTGTGAGGTGGAAATGGATGGGTGCTGGTCTCAGCCTTGTGTCAATGGAGCAACCTGTCAGGATGTTCTTGGGGCGAACTTCTGTGACTGTGCCCCGGGATTTCTAGGTGATCATTGTGAGTTCGACCTTGATGAGTGTGCCAGTCAGCCATGTCTCCACGGAGGTCAGTGTGTGGATGGAGAAAACAGGTATGTCTTCTCCTCCAGTCAGGGGCCTGGCTTAGAGAAATTGAGACCTTTTGTTCCTCTCTGGTGAAATTGGAGGTCTTAAATCATCTGCTTCCGACTTGCAGATTATATTATACTTTACCAGTTGAGAAGTTGTAGCTGCCTTCTTTGAGCTAGGAGCTAGTAGCTCACGCCTGTAATCCTAGCTACTCAGGAGACTGAGATCTGAGGATCGCGGTTTGAAGCCAGGCCAGCCTGGGCAGGAATGATATTGGAAAGGGGTGTGGGATCACAGCGTTTGCATCCTGGTTTTCTAGATGTTTGGACACCTGGGCGCATCCCTTTGAGAAAGCAGGATGGTGACAAGTAGCTATGCGACACTGCTACAAATCAAATTCTACGATAGCTTCCATAGCTTTCAGTGACACACATCTGTAATCTTAGCCACTCAGGAGGCTGAGCTCTGAGGATGCTGGTTTGAAGCCAGCCATGACAAGAAATTCTATGGGATTCTTATCACCAATTAACCACCAAAAAGGCCAAAAGTGGAGGTGTGGCTCAAGTGGGAGAGTGCTAGCCTTGAACCAAAAAAATGTTAAAGAATAATGCCTACGAGCTCAGTTGAAGGGACTGTTATCAGGCAGAGAGTGGAAAAAAAGAGAGAAAGAGATAGAGTGAGCAAGCTAAACTATACCTTAATATAATAAATGCAATGATTTTGTGTAATGGTAAGTGAGCTTCCTTCTATCAGAAAGGACTTTCCATTAGTTGTTTAAATCACAAGTACCACATGATCAAATACATAACGATTTTAAACATTATTGTACCTGACATTTCCGACTTCAAACCTTGAGCAGCTCATTGCAATAAAGAATCTAAACTTCAGGGAGGTTAGATGAGTTCCGCCAGTTCATACCATGAATTCTTTACAAAAGAAGGAATACATCTATAAAGGAATAATACAATGTCCTAAGTCTAGTAAATAAGACAAATCTAATTTCAAAGTGAATGAGATTCCAAAGGTGAGCAGTGGAAAGACCCCTGTGCTTCAAATACACTCGTCAGGATAACAAAATTTTAAATAGAACAATATGGTTGCATATTTCTTTTGTAAGATGTAAAGCATCACTTTTAGTTGTATCCCATGTTTTGTTTTGTTTACTTTGAGTCATGCCTAAAGCATGTTCTGAGGTCCTGAGTCTCCATTCCCATAGATGGGCAGTTGGACAATGTAGAGACAGAGACACAAGCACCTCCATTCCTCGTGAGACTCCCGGAGGCTCTATTTCGCACACTCCCCTATCTCCAGAAAGCATCCAAATAGAAGTGACACAAAACTGTTGGTACTGTGGAAAACAGAGACCAAACAATCTGGGAATCTCCTCAATTTTACCAGTCCTGGGGCTTGAACTCAGGCCTCAAGCCCTAATTCAATGTTTTCCCTCCTAGCTAGTGCTCTACTATGTCAGCCATTCCTCCACTAATGGTTTTTTTTTTTTTTTTTTACCAGATAATAGGAGATAAGAATCTCTAGATTTGGTCTGGGAAGGTGGCTCAGTGGTAGAGTTCTTGTCTTGCATGCATGAAGCCCTGGGTTCGATTCCTCAGCACCACATAAGCAAAAAGAAAAAAGCCGGAAGTGGCGCTGTGGCTCAAGTGGTAGAGTGCTAGCCTTGAGCTGAAGAGCTGAGGGACAGCGCCCAGGCCCAGAGTTCAAGCCCCACAAGCTCTAGATTCGTCTGCCCTAGCTGGTTTGGAACTGAAATCCTCAGATAGCCTCCGGAGTAGCTAGGATTACAGGCTTGAGCCACCGACACCCAGCACAAATCTTGCCAGCCTCTCTCTCTTGAATGTGCCATGACTAACTTCTCTATTTACTATTATTATATGTATTATAACTACTATTATTTTTATACTACTGCTTGTTATTACCTAAATTGTGAAAAGATCAACCAATGTGACTAGACGTTATTTCCCTACAACAAATGCATATTTGCTATGATACAGATGAGAAAGCAGGTTGGTGAACCAAAGAAACTTTGGAAATAGCATTTCTAATTTTATGAATTCAGCCAGCCAGCTTAGCTTGTGGAGCACAGGTCTTTTGTCCCCTGTTGGTTACATATAGTAATGTTTTAGTACTTTTAATTAAACAGATGGAATGGTTAGGTTTCTAACAAGAAATACATGTAAAACTTACGTTACTTGTAACATTTGCTATTTTCGTTTCCTTAATAAAATCTCAATATGGTTGATGACAAATGCACACCATCCTGGCTGGTGAACAGATGTAGCTGCTTTAATCTGTGTAAGTCTCCACACCTGAAGATTCATTTTATTGAAGCTAATTAAGCCGATCCATTTTTCTCGGTGTTAAATCATGGAAGGGAGCCCGCCTAAACTAAAATCTCTTTTTAAATAAAGTCAACAGCTTCCTCTATTAGATTATACTTGGAGATTGTTAGTTATTCTCAGTCAACGGATAATGAGAAATAGCAAGGCTTTCCAGGAGCTGATGGCTCATGCCTATAATCCTAGCTACTTAGGGGATAGAGATCAGGAGAATCAAGATTTAAGGGCATCCCAGGCATAAATGTGAGACAATCAATAACTGGTTCATAGCTTTTACCCTAACTATGTGAGAAGTGTAAGTAGGCAGATCACGGTTCAGGCCAGCCTTAACATACACACAAGACCCTATTCAAAATATAATGGAAGCATCAAGAGCCAGGAAGGTACCTGTATAGCAAGCACATGGCCCTGAGTTCAGGAAGAAAGAAAGAAAGAAAGAAAGAAAGAAAGAAAGAAAGAAAGAAAGAAAGAAAGAAAGAAAGAAAGAAAGAAAGAAAGAAAGAAAGAAAGAAAGAAAGGAGAAAGAAAAAGAAAGAAAGAACAAGGAAGCAAAGAAAAAAGAAAAGAAAAAGAAGGGAGGGAGGGAGGGAATCAGGGAGGGAAGAAGGAAGGAAGGAAGGAAGGAAGAAGGGAGGAAAGAGGGAGGAAGGGAAAGGAGGGAGGGGGAAGGAAGGAAAAAGGAAGAAAGAGAGAGGGAAACAAACAAGAAAGGAGAAAGAAGGGGAAAGAAAGAGTAATATAGTAATTAATAGTAATGCATGCATTACATTTGTGCCTATTCTTTGTCTGTGCATTTAATTATTGCAATAACTCTTCAATGTAAATTCTTCAATCTAGGCATGAAGAAAACAAAGTTAAGTCGTGGCTTGCAACTAGTTTTGCATAAAGCTGTAGCATAACTCCCAAAAGACAACAGCAAGAGCTGCGCAATTCATTGAGGCTATGGATATAACTGTCTGGAGTTGACGAGCTAAGTGTTCAGACTGCGCCGTGGGTTTCAGGATGATGGACAAATGAAGTGACAGAATACAAACATTTCATTTCAATATGCGCAGGGCTTAACATAAAAATGTCGCTTCCTCCGCAGATACAGCTGTAACTGCACAGGGAGCAGATTCATGGGGCCTCGCTGTGAGAGCCCGATGCCTCCTTGCTGGTCAAACCCTTGTGACAACAATGCCACTTGTGAAGACACTGCTGACGGTTACATGTGTCACTGCTGGCCTGGTGAGTGACAGGAATACCTCTCACAATTTGTTTCCTTTGAGACACATTGCTTATAGCAAATGAATCTCAAGATTCTTGTTGTTGGAGGGTTGAGTGCACTCTCTCTTCCGCTGGTCCTGTGGGGCTGTGGCTCTCAGTGCTCACACACTATCGAGCTCATTCTCCATGTGCTCCAAAGTAGGCCAGTGAGCTGCTCAATGACTGGGGAGATCACTGGTGGGAACAGAAAGGGAGAGAACAAAAAGAGTGTCGTGAAGGTCTTCAGGCATTGAACAAGGATTCTTGACTTCCTGAGATGTTCTCTTAGACACTGGAAATACATAGAATCCTATGAATTGATGTCAAAACTGTAGCACCTCGTCTTATAATTCATTGATATCTATATGTGTGTCATCTCAATATCATCTATTTCATCTATATCTGCATGTCACCTTTCTCTCTCTCTCTCTCTCTCTCTCTCTCTATATATATATATATATATATATATATATCCATACTTATCCATTTGTCTATCGAGGGATATATAGGCATAGGCAGACAGACAGAAAGGTAAGTAGATAGATAGATAGATAGATAGATAGATAGATAGATAGATAGATAGATAGATGTGCAATCATAGTCCCTTCTTTGAACTAATTAATTAAGATTAGAATTTTGAATTAATTATATATACTGTGCACAATAAATTAATATTAGTTTGTATGTATAGTGTATACAATGGGTACATTTTGGAACATTATAATAAATTACATAAAAATATAAGGGGAGAACTATGGGATGGATTGACAAAGAAGTACTTAAGTTGGAGAATTTGAAATGTGACTGGACACATATCAGAAATGTACTAACTGTGATTTTGGACAAGTCACTTAGGTTTTCCCATTGATGAAATAGAGATGCTGATAATATCTGCCTAAGACATCCCTTCCTGCAATACAAACAATATTCAACAAACGTTAACTTGATAACAAAATTAAAAGGTTGACCAGCCGTGACCCTATAGCTAGCATGGAGTAGCCCAGTCTTCATTTAAAGAAAAATAAAAGGAAGAAAAAACAGTGCAGGAAACACATAGAAAATAACCTGTCCTGATTTGGAACTTGGCGCAATCGTTGTACACATTACCTGTAGGAAAGTGCATGCCTGTAATCTCAGAATTCGGGAGGCTGAGGCAGGAGGCTGGCTAATTCCCAGCCTTGGCTACATAGAAAGATATGGGAGACAGAGACAGAGAGAGACAGAGAAACAGAGACAGAAACAGAGACACAGAGAGAGACAGACAGAAACAGAGAGACAGACAGAGACAGCGCGACAGAGGGAGGGGGATTAGGGTCAGGACTGCAGGTAACAAAGCTATTGTCAGCCTGGGGCAGGTAAATATGGTCATCAAACAGGTTCAGGGGAGCTCCCTGGCAGCTTGGTGGAAGTGAGTTGAGAGATACCAAGAAAGGCAGGGACCACAGCAAGGCCTCTGCGCGTGCGCGGGGTTTAGATAGAGCTGGGCAGGGGAGCGGGTGCCACAGATGCCCCCAGTGCTGCTGGAGGTGAAATGCCCGGGACAGACGCGGGACGGCACTGGGCCTGGAGTTCTGTGCGAGGACACTGGCCCGGCGGGGGCACTGCCCGGAGAAAACGTTCAGCGCGCCCTGGGGCCCTGTCCGCACCGCTGCTCAGAGTGGACGCTCACCACGGGCCGTTCTTCCCAGCTAAGAGGACACTGAGAGCGCGGTGGCACTAGGCCACGTCCAGTCTTCAAAAGACGCCTCGGTCGCCTTCCGTGCTGTGACACCTGCCCAGATGCAACTGGATGTGTGGGAGAGAAGCCAACCTTTATGCCCAGAGGACGTGATTCAGTACCATGTTCTCTGTATGCAGAAGTTTCAAGCAAAACTTGGGGGAAACTATTGACTACAGTCTTGACTGTGGGAGTCTATTTATATCTTTGGTTAAAGAGAACAGGAAAAAAATGTATGTATATATATCCCCATCGGGCCTCAGTGGATGGGACTGACAGAACCATAAATCAGAGCCTCTTACTGTTCAAGCTTGCAATGAGATTCTGGAGGAGCTGAGCAAGTAAGAAAAGGATTTATGATGGTTCTAAATTACTTCCGAACCGGAGTCCTCAGATGAGGAGAAAGTTGGAAAGAATCCAAGCCTTCTTCAATAATTTCACTGAAGCATGTAACTACCAGTTTATTTAAAAAAAAAAACAACTTGCTATGAAAAAGAATATTCAGTGAATATCTATATTGCTTTAACTGTGAAATGAAAGTATTTACAAAGTAGGCATTTGAGTTTAAGAGCATCTTGGGGTTTCCTTGCCGGGGGTCACTAGAAAGAACTCGGGCCTTGATCTGACATGTCTGTTAGGTTTTTTTTTTTTTTTTTTCCCAACTCTTCTTTCTTCTTCAGATGTCTGAGAAAGGACCCAACAGTCACGTGTCACAGAGATACCACACTGTTGAGGGACAGAATTTATGTCGTGGTTATTATCTGACATATGACTCCATTCTTGTTTTTATTAAAGTTACAGAATGAGCAGCCATATGATCTTCTCCTCTCTCATTAATAGTCAATTCTCTGGGTTTGCATGCTGAACCAGAATTACGACCTACCTTGATGCTCTTTCCAACCATTCATTAATATGCTCGTATCCTCATTCCATGATCGGCTGAACCATGCTTACCTGTGTAAGGTAGGTAAGCCCCCTGCAGCTGCTCAGCACCTCAGTGATCAAGAAAATGAGCCTGCTTCTGTGGAGCGGCTGGTCTGCGTAGAGAGGCTTCTGTGGAAACAAACAGACGTACGATTTGAAATGATTTTGGATAATCAAAAAATTCATGAGTGAAAAGGTTCGAGTAGTATGATGGAAATCAGAGCATTTTAGATCATGAGAAAAAGTCAGTGCTGAGAAAGTCAAGCTTGAAAGCTCAGTAAGAGTTAGCCAAGCACAGTCCAGGGAGAAGTTTCTCGAACAGGGAACAGAGTTAGGAAAGTGGACACAGAATATTCCCTCCGGGACCAGGGGCTGAGTGGGCTGGGGAAGGATTGAGGAGCTGGAAAGGGACCATCCTGAGAGGAAGTTCTCAGGTCATGTAAAGGACTGGATTTTACCCTCTATGAATATAGGAAACCATTGTATAATTATAAAGTTAAAAAAGTAATGGAGAATGTGATCTAAATAATACAACTTTGTTATTTTCAACTTACAATTTTTATTATCTTTAAAATGTTGCACAGAGGAGTTTCAACACATCAATTTATGAGTCTAATTTTAGATCATAATTTTTTTGGGGGGTCCGGTCCTGGGGCCTGAACTCTGGGCCTAGGCGCTGTCCCTCAGCTCTTCAGCTCAAGGCTAGCGCTCTACCACGAGCCACAGCACCATTTCCAGCTTTTTATCTTTTTGCTTATGTGGTGCTGAGGAATCGAACCCAGGGCCTCAGGCATGCAAGGCAAGCGCTCTACCACTGAGCCACCTTCCCAGCCCCTGGATCATAAATTTTGTTTTTTTTTTAATGTATTTCTTAGCTAAAGCATCAGTGGCTCACACCTGTAATCCTAGCTATTCAGGAGGCTGAGATCTAAGGACCATGGGTCGAAGCCAGCCAGAGCAGGAAAGTCTGTGAAGCTTATCTTCAGTTAATCAGCAAAAAGCCAGAAGTGGAGGTATAGCTAAAGTAGTAGAGCATTGACTTTGAGCAAAACAGTAAGAGACATCACCCAGGGCCTTTGTTCAAGCCCCAGGACCAACACACACACACACACACACACACACACACTGTGTCATCCTCTCAGCTGACTTAAATGAGATCACAGAGACCCTGAGGTGATTGTTAGGACACCTGTATCAAAGCCTCCCTGTGATCCTTGAACCTTATGCTTCTCCTTTGCCACTTCATGAAATAGCTGACACTATTTTTTATTTCCTTATCTTTAGGTAGTTGTACAAAGGAGCTGCCATTTAACAGAACAGTTTATGTATACAATGTCACCCCTCTCAGCCTTCCCTTCATTCAAGCCGACAGAAGTTTGTTCACTATTAGACTTTGAAAATTTGTATTTGGGGCAAGCAGTAGACATAGTGTATAAACTCATAAATCGATAAGAAAATCCATCTCATGAGAAAATAGAAAATTAAACAAAACATTTGGGAGTCAAACATGTTGACTCAAATAATTTGGAAACTAAGTTACACACACACACACACATCCTGGTTATGGGTATATGGAACCAGTTCATTTTCCAACACCTGCTAAAATACAACACCTGCATAGCCTGCAACACCTCTAGGCATAGAGCCTAGGTTTTCTCCCAACATGTACCCAAACAGGAATATAATATTCCTTGTAATGTCAGAATAGTAAAAATGCACTCAAGCTAATAAAGGATTGGTTAAACTGTGGCATATCAATATTTTAGCAGTAGTTTGAAATGATTAGTTTCATCTGTGCTAGTAATGTAGATTGTGCAAGGGATTGAATGGGCTGTGGGAGGTTGCATGAGATTCCAGTAACACAAGTCTCACACACGAACTCCTATCTATATTACCTATCTTATCTATCTGTCATCTATCTTGATCATCTATATGCTATCATCTCTCAAGCCATAGTTATCATTTATCTATGAATTTATGTATCATCTATCTACCATGTACTGCATCTATCATTTATCATCAATCTATTACCTCTCTACCTTTAGTCTGTCATCAATTTATCTACCTATGTCTATATATTTATCTACCTATAGCTATCATCTATGTATGTATGTATGTTTGTATGTATATATGTGTGTATCTATCTATCTGTCTGTCTGTCTGTCTGTCTACCTGTCTATCTGTCTGTCTGTCTAGTATCTATGCATCTATGTATCTGTCATCTACATGTGTTGCCCACACAAGTAAACATGTATGTCAGAGCAAAGAAAAAGTTTTGAGTCGGAAGCTTCCTTGTACATTTCATATTATAAATTTTATGAGATGACAAATCATTTGTTTA